AAGACAGTGGGAGTCTAACACAGCAGAAATTCAACAGAATCAGCAATCATCTAAGCCACCTTCTGAAGGGCTACATAATGAGTGAACTTTGTTGTGGGTCCTTCTTCTCAGGAGAAAAGTAATTCTGGGTAGAGTTAGTTCCTGCAGAACCTTTCTCTGAGGAAATGGAAGCTTTCGGGGTGGAGGAATCGCTGGCGTGGTCTCACAGACAGTACAAATAGAAGCTGGATCTTTAAAGCAAACAGCAGCTTGCAGAGTGTTGTATAACCTCAGTGATGTGAGATGCTCACTGTGGGGTTGAGTTACCCTCATGTTTTTTCAGCTGCTCGAGGTGTGCAGGACTCCCACACCTACAGCATGAGGACATCCTGCTGATGCTCACACACAGCCTGCATGAGGCAGGTCTGCCCTTGGCTCTGGGGGTGTCTTGTCTGCCTGTGTGCCCCAACACCCAGCTGCCCAGGAGTAACCTGCTGTGAGCTGTAGCTGCCACCTGCTGTAGCCCTACAGCAGGACAGGAGAGCAGGACCAGAGAGGTCACTTGGCTGTGGTCTGTGGTGGTTCAACTCCTGGGCTCATCAGAGGTTAAAACCAGACCCTGGCAGCCTGAGGGAGCACGGAGGAGAAGGCAGCTCACCAGAGGACCAGCCTGTTGAGGGAGCAGCAGGAGCTGGTGTCTCCCCCCTCACTCCTGATGCCTTGGCTGTGGTGGGGGCTGGCAGGCAGGTTAATGCTTGGCCTGAGAGCATCCAGCCCCAGCCCATCCCACGTGTGTCTCTAAACAGGAGCTGTTGGGGACTTGCAGGGTGTGTCTGTGGTCCTGCTGTCGTGTCCCTGTGCCCAGTAAAAAAATCCTAAATAGAAATTACTCAGAGATTTGTTGCAGCAGCTTTTAATTGTTGTTCTGGCTCAGATGTGGTTCTGAGTTCTCTGTGATTCGTTGGCCTAGTATTTTGCTTTGTGTTTGAAACTTTCTTTGTATTTTTATTTACTGCTAGTATGAGTTGTTCTTCCAATAAAACAAATGTAGAGGCTCATCATGACGTAGTGTTTCAGCTCTGTTTTGGGCCTGGTTTGGAGATGCAGAAGAAAATTTACATGGTATGAAGATTTAGACCTCACCCTATCTACAGAAGCAGAACTCTAATGAGTTTATGAATAAAAGTTGAGTTCATATCCTTTAAAAAAATGCTCAAAATATTATCAGATTTGTTACTGAAGTATGGCAGAATCAATTTTTTTTTCATGAATGGCACAACAAAATGGATCTTGAAGCATTTTAAAGAAAAAAAGATAAAAGGGAAAAGGCAGGAGAATGGATTCTGAGCTAAGGTGGATTCATCCAACTCTAGGAATTCCAACTGAGAATTTACAGTACACCACCACTAAATGCAGCCTGAAGTATTTAGGCATACTTAGGAAAGAAATTAAAAGTTGCACTAGCTCTAATTAGTGTCACCCTCAGAATGATGTCCAGTCTCCTCCATGAAATTCTGAAAACACAGTGTAGCATGAGTGGGAGGAAAGGTTGGCACACAGCAGTGGGAATCCTGCAGCTGCTTCACCACTGGTTCCAGCATTGCTGGAGGGGCCTGTCAAGGCAGAAGGGCCAAACTGCAGCAGCAAGACCAGGAGGTGTTAGACAGAGATGGGGTTGTGTGGGAACAGCTCCAGCAGCAGTCAGAGCAGTGCAGAGCAAAGCCCAGCCTGAGACTGACCTGGGCAGCAGCTGGAGAGGGGAAGAGTGAAGTGGATGAGGAGGGCACGCTGACTTTAGCAAAAACAGAAACAGAGGGTTTGTGTTGTGACAAACTGAGACTGAACGGGCTCCCTGGTGAGGTGTTGAGCTCACACCCAGGCTGGCTGGCCCGTGGTGGGAAGCTGCCTGCTGTGGCTGGGGGCTCCCTCCTGCCAGCAGGGAGCTGGAACCAACACAGCTCTGACAGAGTTTCCTTCTGTTGCCAGGCCAAGGGTGGTTTTACTGACAGGTGAAGTGCTGGCCTTGCTGAGACACAGGAAGGCATGATGTCCCCTAGAGCAGGCTGTGCAAGGCCCTGTCCTACCCGGGCTTGGGCACCACAGCTGCCCTGGGAAGCCTGTGCCAGTGGCTCCCTGTCCTCACACTGAAGAAATCCTTCCTTACATCCAGTGTAAATCTACCACCTTCTACCTGGATTTGCTTCTGACCTTTTTAACACACTCTAGATTTCCTCCTGAATTGTTTTGTTAAACACAGTATCTTTTTATCAAGTGGTCAGAGTCACTGCTCTCTCTGGCTGTGCCTGCTCTCTCTCGTTTTTTAATGTATTTAGGATAAAAAGGGGGCTGCTACATGAGAACTAGGGAATATAAAACATTATAATACAAGTAAAATATATGTCAAGCATTACAGGCTTATTTTTGTACTAGGTTATTTCCATTGCCTCTATTACCTTAGATCTGACTTTTTCCACTTCACATGTAGGAATTATGAGACTTTCTACATGTGCATGTTCATAGTTCTGAGCTGTGTCATCTCAAATGCTTTTTTCCTCCCACAGTGAAACCCATTCAGTAGATAGCTCAGATGGGGAAGCAGGTAAGTATGGAAGGAAAATGCCACCCTGAAATCTGGGAGTCTTACTCTGCAACTTAAGGAACAGTTGTAACATTCTTATACATTTTTTGTGTGTATCTAGATCTATAAAGACAACCAAATAGAAATCTGATTAGAAATGGAATTTTTTACATACATATGTACACACTTTCCCAGTTTGATATTGGTCAGTTATAAACAATGCAGATGTTTATCTGCATCACAGGGTTTCTTGAGGAAGACCAGAAGCCAGCTCAAGTTTGAACCACAGCAGATTTATATTTTTTTCACATCCACATCTTCAGTGGGTGTGTCCTCAGAGTGAGTGTCACTGTGGCTCCTTCCCTACCCTCACACCTGAGTTCCTGAAAGTTACTATGCCAAGGAACGGTGAGCATCCAGGTCTGGGCTGGACAGGATCTCCACTGAGAAGAAGGCTGCAGGTGTCCCCATGGAATATGCTCATGAATGAACTCCTGCCTTTCCACCGACTCCTGGCTGAACATGCAGGGATTGTGCTGAAGCTTCCTGAACGTGCTCTGCCTGACTGGCTTAGCTCTGCCCCTTGCTGGCAGACAGGACAGGCAGGCCTGAGGCACAGTGCCTGGCTCTCACATGCTGGGGAGAGGCAGCTCTGGCAGAGCCACCCCCATTGGAAAGGAATGCATTAGGGGATGGCTCTTCCTGTGCCACCTCTGTGCAAACACCTGCTGTGCACGGGCTGCACCCTGCCGAGCCCCGGGTGCTCTTCACAGACAGGCCTGAACCTCTTCCTCGTGTCTGCAGGGAGCTGGGTGCAGGAGCTGCCCTCCAGCAATGCTGCAGGTAATCCCAGTGTCATCTTCCAGGTCTCCTCTTGTGGCAGGACATCTCAAGAAAAACTTTGCATCCCAAATCTGAGGCATGGAGACTGCTTCTAGCAAGTTCCATTTCTTGCAAACCATTCTTCTGGTGTGAGTTCTGCTCTGCCCAGGTTCTGGGCAGGTGACCACCTCCTGGGACCCAGAAATGCAGCTGCCTCTACAGCCTCCTGTAGAACATTGCTCTCTCTCCTCTCTGTGTCTCATCTGCCTCCTCTTCTTCCTCAAAACTCTGCTGCTGTGATTTCCAGAACTGCGTTGGGGACACTGAAAAGAGAAGTCTATTGCAGTGTTTTTGTTTCCTGTCATGCTGGACAGCACAGCAAAGTTTTCTCCATTGTGCAACATCAGAAAATTAGGAAGCCAAGACCTTGCAATAACCAGGCCTTGGGTCCAGGGGCTGAAACAGAAACCTGGCAAATACACTGCTTCAGATGGAAATGACACCAATTTGTGCTCAGTTTTTTGATGAATAATAATAATAATTTTAAAAACTACCCAGAACTGATTTTCCAGGGTATATTTTTAGTCCCAGACTGGAAACTCCCAGCTCTTAGAGCACTGAGTGCCACACAGCCTGCTTTGCTGCTTCTCTGACACAGGGTTCTCCACGAGTGTCCTGAGCCTTTCCACATGCTCTGCAGGTGACCTCTGTGTCCTTCCTGCTCCTGGCCAGGCCAGCAAACTCAGCGTCAGAGTCTCACCTGAAAGTGCCAAGCACACTGAACAGGTAAAACCCCCAACAGGGAGCTGCAGTGCTGGGGCCTGACCCAAGCCCTGAATCAGGGTTGCCATGTGGCTGATGCCCACAGCCAGGCAGGGGAGACCTTCCTCTTGGTTTTCTCTCAAGAAAACCTTGGCCAAACTTGGGTGAAAACCAATTAGGAAATTAACCTCCGTTGTCACCTTTAAAGTTAACAGGGTAAAGGCTGGTCCTGCTTGCAGGGAGTTTGTGCATGTTGTGGGTGTACTACGCAGGGTTTTCTGCTGCTGGTAAGGGCTCCCTGCCTGTCCTGGACAGAGTTCCCAGCAGTGGTGGGGCACACACGAGCAAGGCAGGGTGAAGGCTGTGTGTGTAACGATGCTTTTCTCTGGCAGTTGCTGTGGTGATTTCTGGGTGGCTGGAGTGGCACACTTGACTTGGTTTCCAGCTCAGCTTACTCCTCCTTTCACTACGTGAGGCACCACGAGTGAAAATCTGGATTTGTTTATCCCTCCTGTTGTTAGCTGCATCATATCTTGTATTCTTTGGGGTGGGAGGATGAAGTCTGGCCCATATGCTTCCTGTTAATGGCCTTACCTGCCATATTGGGCCATAGGGTCAGCAAAAGAGGTGGCCAGGTTGGCAAGGGGCTGGGATCGGTCACTCAGAAGCCTTATGAGAGGAGCAGAATTAACTTTTATTGACATGGTTTTTTAACTTATCAATACAAAGTATGCTGAAGGAAGAAGGAAACGTTAAAGATAAGCCATGAGTAATTGTTCCCCTCAGGGGTGGGGCAAGCACCCTCCACGGAATGCTCTTTGGCATTCTTCTCCAGTGGTGTGTGGGAGCAGTGTCCTCACGGAACCGCGAGGGCTTCTCTGCACCACTGAGGGGTCAGCTAGACAAGGTGCCAGGGGAAGTATGGGATGGTCAGGGCACCCGTCTGTGAAGGAGGGGAGTGAAAAGAGGCACAGCAGGTACCTGACATCACTCTGAGCAGTTTCATCTAGGACTGATCTCCCACTTGAAACGAGATGCGGGGACACAGGCTGAGAAATGAGACCCGCTGGAGCTGAGAGCCCCTGGCAGGCTCGTTCCCACACTGCAGGACAGAGTACTTGTCTAAGCTCGGGACAGCTTTTTATGAGCTCCTTCATGAGCTGCCCCTTCTCTAGGATACTCCAGGTCCTCCATCTGAAGTAGATTTTCTTTCCTTAGACAAATTTGGCTCCCAGTTCACAAATTCGATAGCAACTGGTGAAGCAAAGGATGTTATTCCAGTTGTAGTAAGTGTTGGAGTCTGTGTGGCCCTTGATGTGAATGGCAGCACATTTTTCTGCAAAGAGTAAATTGGGTTCCCCGGGCTTCCAGAACCTGCAGAAGAAAGCTGCCCTGGTGGGAGGGCACCGGCACGCTGGGCAGCGGGTGCGGCCACCGCAGCCACGGGGCAGAGGGAGGAGACGGCGGCTGGGACACAGACCAGGAGTCCTGGGCTGGACTGGAAAACCAGCCCGGTTTTCCGACTTCCAGGGCAGCTGGAGCCAGACCTTGCCCTCTGCCCAGCCCTGCCTGGCACAGCGCACCCCCGAGCTGCAGGGGTGGGTCACAGCCCCGGCTACTCACGCCTCTGCCGCCACGTAGGGGCTGCGGTCCACCCAGCGCCAGCGCCCGCGCTCGTCGGCGGCCAGCCCGAGGTAGTACTTGGTTTCATAGGCATCGGTAGCTGCCTCTCTTCCCAGGGTGAAGAGGAACTCCTGGGAAAAGCACAGCGCCCATGGGCTGCGGGACGGAGCAGAGGGAGGCGGCGGAGGCCCCGTGGAGGTGGGGGAAG